TCCGTCTCGTTCAGCGGCCTCATGGACGAGTCGGCGATCTTCTCTGGCCTCAACAAGGACACGGGCGCCGCGATGGTCTGTCCGGCGCTCTTGGACCACGTCTCAGCCGAAGTCCAAAAGGACGCCGCGATTTTGAACCAGGTCAGAAAAGCCAAGGAGGAGCGGGCCGCGCTCCTTAAGAAGCAATGACGCCTGAATTCCTCGACCCAGGACCCCCCCCCGGCCTGGGTCGCTACGCGCAGGGGGGGCCTGTCACGCCTGACTGTCGCTCGCGTGATCTCTTATTTCTTCCTCTCCCTCCTGTCTCCGTTCTCCCGAGGGGCTCCTCATCGGATCTGTCCAGGGCTAGTCGGCGGCGTCTTGAACGGTCCGGTCACAGTGATCGGCTCGCACGGGACATCGCCCAGAGTTTAAATGACCTATTTCAGGGGTCCGCGTCTCGTTAAGGGGCCTGGCCACCCACTGCTGCCCAAGACGAGGCTGTCAGGCGAATTCGTCTCGCTGCACGCAGGACCGGCCCCCCCCCCGGCGGACTCCACGGCGCGGGGGCCTTGCGAGAGCTCTGCGCCCGGCGCGCCTGCGATGGTGAGCCCGCCACCGTTGCGCCGATCAGCCCAGCATCTGTCTGCCTCTTGGATCTCCCTGCCCCGTGCAGCTCCCCTCGTCCTTTGGAGCTGTTGGGGGGTCCTGAGGGTGAAATTTTGGCCGGTAAAGTTTGCTTGAAACTTCTTCCTGAGTCCCTGGCGGCCGGGCGGCTTCAACAGTAGGCCCTGGCTAGAGCGTATGCAGATCCAGCGCTCCGGCGACCCCCTCGCCTGCATGCGTCTGTTTGACATTGTTTGTTCGAAGCCGGTCTGATTGAGTGGAGGTTAGGGTGCAAGGAGTCTGTGGGAATTTTCGCCGTCTTTAAGAAGTCGGGAAAGCTGAGAGTCATTATAGATGGGAGGCGGGCGAGTTGTTGGTTTTCTGATTCAGGCCCCGTGCGCCTTGCCAGTGGCGCCTCGTTCGCGGGCATCCAGGTCGACACCGGCGAGCCTATCTGCGTTGGTGGGGTTGATGTTGCCAACGCGTTTCATAATCTGCTCTTCCACCGTCTATTCGGGGCTACTTCGGTCTTCCCAAGATACGGGCGGGGATCGCGGGGGTCACCAGCGTCTGTGGTCAACCGGTGGGCCCGTCGACGTTTACCATGCCTACCTTTGTCGCGATTGCTATGGGATGGAAGCTGTCACTCTGGATCACGCAGGAAATTCTTGAATTGCATTCTCGGCGCGTTCCTGGCCTTTACTTACATAATGCTCTCTTTGACGGGAGACCGGCTCCTCCTCTTCGTCCTCTTATCCACGCAGAATATGTGGACAACTTCGTCGCCCTGAGCCAATCTCTCTCTGATGGGCAAGCAGCTGCGGACAAGGTCTCGCAGCAACTATCCTCTGCGCCGCTGCCCGTCCACCCATGCGAGTCTTCAGTAGGCGGCACTTCGCTGGGCTGGCAGTTCTCGGCGGACTCCGCCGAGGTGGGGGTGAATCCGATCATGCGCTGGAAAATCCACCTCGCCTTCATCGAGCTCTGTCGTCGTCGGTTTGCATCCGGACGTACCTTGGGAATCTTGTTATCCCACTACACTACTAGGTGCCTCATTCGTCGTGAACTTCTTTGTGTCTTCAATGCTACCTGCGCTTTCGTCGAGCATGCCGGTGACCTTGCTAAGAAGATCTGGCCGTCTGTTTTTCGTGAGCTGGGTTGGGCTAGTCATCTTATTGTCTTGGCGTATCGCGATCTTGGGGCTGAGTGGGACCCTGAAGTCACGGTGGTGGATGCATCTTCTTGGGGCCTTGGTGGTTGTTCTTATGTGGCATCGGATCTAGACATTGCGTCCTTGGGGTCCTTTACTGAGCGCTGGAGGTTTACTCAGTCTGGGGAGAAGGCTTTCAACCCGCGGGACTCGGTGCTCCTCGCGCAGCGCCTTGGACGTCACCATCGGGGCTCCCCCCCTGATGTCCCTTTGGGCTCTGTGCCCCCGGTCCCTGAGGCTCTGTGGGGTACCCCCTGGGTCCTCGCAGAATCCAGAGCCTGGCGGCGCCCCGAACCCCGGGTGTGTCTTGAGGGTAGAGCGATGGTCTGGGACGTGAAGCGGAAGGTCCGGGCATTCCGGAGCTTCGGCCGAAGGCACCTCCACCTCGGGGACTCCATGGCGCCCATCCTCGCGGTCACCAAGGGCCGATCCTCTACGAGGTTGATGTTGCGAGTCTGTCGTCAACGCGGCGCTCTGGCTTTGGCTTCGTTCTCCTACCATGCCTGGAGATGGGTCCCGTCGGAACACGACGCAGGGGATCCTGGGTCTCGTGGGAAACGTTTTGTTTTGGCCGCTGCCTCGGCTCGAGCAGCCTCTTCGACGTTATTCACGACTTCCACTTCGACTATCCCGCCTCCGCCGGGCCTCGAGCTGCCGCGCGCCTCCAGCGCGCCCGCTCGCGACGCCGCGGCCGATGCTCAGGTTGCTTGGCGGGGCTCTGATGCCCGCGAGCGGCGGGTCAGGGCCGCCAGCTGAGTGCTCGCCAGCGCCTTCGGCGTCACTGATGCTGCCTCGCCAGACGGGGGCTCCCCGGTCAGCGAGGGCCGCCCCGCGCAAGCGACCCGCGGCGGCCTCGCGCCCCAGGCAGCCGTCCCGAACCCTCTTGGATCGGCCAGCGCTGGAGGGGGCACGTCGGGCCGATCGCAGCGCCGCCCGGCGACGGGCGCACCCGGCGCCCGCGCCTGCGGGCCCGCAGACGGGGGCCTCGTTCCTCGAGCACAATGTGATCAAGCCCCAGCAGCGGATGAGATACATCACGATGGTGAACGACTTCAAGAGCTGGTGCCTAGTCATGGGGATCGCCCTGGACACCGTGCGGCAGCTCGTCGTCGGCCTGGCCCAGTACTTCCACGACCTCTTCTTCAACGGCGAGGTCGTCGATCGGGCCTCAGCTCTGTTGGCTGCCCTGGCCCACCTGGAGTCCTGCCGACTGTCGCGGAAGACTCCGGAGCTTCCTCGGGCGCGGGCCGCCCTGCGGGGATTCGGCCGCCTGGCTCCGAAGCGGGCCCGGTTGCCCATGCCGTGGGTCGTCGCGGCGCTCGTGATCGTGAAGATGATCGCCTGCGGGAACGTGGGGGCCGGCTGGCTGACGCTCCTGAACTTCGCGTTCTACTGCCGGCCGTCGGAGCTCCTGCGGGCCCGCCGGAAGGATCTGATCCCCCCAGTCGCTCGCGGCCTTCTACGACTCCGTCACTGGGGGATCCTGCTGAATCTCCTGGAGGGGGAGATCCCGAGCAAGACGCATGCGTACGACGAGTCCTTGATGAACGACAACCCGGACTTCAAGTGGATCGACACCGCGCTGGAGCACCTGCGGGGTCGCGGCCCACTGGGCGGAGCCGATCGCGGCCGTGGGCCACGCAAAGTGGACGGCCCAGTTCCGGGCCGCCTTGAACGAGCTGCCACTTGGTCCCCTCCTGCCCCTGGCGATCTACCAGATGCGCCGCGGGGGGCCCCCCCGCGAGATTCACTCCGGGCGTCGAGACATGCTCGGGGTGAAGAAGAGGGGGCGCTGGGATTCCGACGCCTCGCTGCACCGATACGTCAAAGCCAGGCGCCTCAACGAGCAGGTGCACGGGCTCGACCAGGACGCGCAGGCAGCGGTCAACCTCTGCGCGGAGCACATTGGCTCAGTGATCCCGCAGCCGCGCCTCGCGCAGCAGCTTCTCGCGGGGGCCGATTTGCCCTGGAGCTCTTCGCTGGGCAGGCTCGCTGGAGCGCAGCCTGGCGCGCGTGCAAGTCTTTGTCTGGGATCCCTGTCTTCTCGATTGACATCCGGGCGGGCCCTTCCCACGACTTGAACACCAAGCGTTTGTGTCAGCGTATCCGGGGGTGGATTCGGGCGGGCCTCATCGCGGCCCTCTGGCCGGGAACTCCGCGCGCCGCGTTTTCGGCCCGCAAATCGAGAAGGGTGGCACGCTGCGCGTTATCCTTGTGGTGTCCCCAGGCTGTCTCCGCGGATTCGGGCTCGCGTGGAAGAAGGTAACTATCTGGCGTCGCTGTCTGCTGGATTATTTAGACTCGCTCGGTCTCAAGACGTCCCAGTGACCATCGAAAATCCCCACACCAGCCGGCTGTGGAAACTTCCGCGTTGGCAACAGCTCCAGAGGCTTTCGGACGTTGACACCGCTGTAATCGACTACTGCTTTTACGGGGTGCCTTGGCGGAAGGAAGCGTGCACGTTTTGTCTCTGCTAACGTTCACCTCGCACACCTTCAGCGTCTTTGCGCCGGCCGCGAAGTTTGTGAATTCAGCGACCAACCTCGCATTGTTCTTCAAGGACATGATCAGTCAGGACGGCACCAGACGCTTCAGGCCGAGCCCTACCCGCCGAGGCTTTGTCGTCAAATCGTCACCGCTTTCTCCTTCGCTATCTTGTCCATTCTGTCTAAGCATTGGGAATATTTGAGGGGCTGCGGCAAATGCCAGGGTTTATCTTTGGAAGAAAAAAGGCGTTTGGGGGTTTCAAGCTATATACTGTCTATCCTGTCCAGCTTGTTTCTCTTCGGGTGCTGCGCTGCGGCGCTCGTGCAGGTAAAGCTCTCGGCACTCGCAGCACACAGATCGAATCAGCGTTCTGATGAGGAAAAAGTTCCCCTGGCCTGGCAGCAACACCGATCTCGGAACATTGATGCTTGTTCACATGCTATTGTTCTCTGGAAGGGCGCCACGTGAAGGCCGCTTCTCTCCGTGAGCACCCTGGCTTCAAGCACCCGCAGATTCCGTTTTAATGCTTTCACTCTGCCTCCCCAATCCTCCCTCTCAGCCGCCTTAAGGGCGAGAAGCCTACCTTGGGGGTTCAAGTTATATACTGTCTATCCTGTCCAGCTCGTTTCTCTTCGGGTGCTGCGCTGCGGCACTCGCGCAGGTAAAGCTCTCGGCGCTCGCGGCACACAGATCGAATCAGCGTTCTGATGAGGAAAAAGTTTCCCTGGCCTATATATATACATATACATATATATATATATGTATATAAATACATACACATATTAGATATATATATAGATATATATATATATATATTATATGTATATATATACATATATATATATATATGTATATGTGTGTGTATATATATGTGTGTCGGGGTACGGGGCTGGGGGCCTCTGGCCAGCTGCCTCGACTCGCCATGGGCCCCCCCCCCCGGGGCCATCTTCGACCCACGTCGCCGAAGCACGTGGTAGAGGTTTCGGGAAGCCTCCAACGTGGCTCCAGACGCTTCCAGGAACACTCCCAAGAGAGCCCCGGGAGGCCCAAATAGATGGTATTCCGAGGGTTTCGGAAGGATTTTGGCCTTCTGTTTTTTTCGGTTGCACGACGCTCCTAGGCGGCCCAGAAGGTCTCCAGGTCCGCCCCCAAGCAGCCCCAGAGGCCCCCAAGACAAGCCCAAGGCGGCCCCGGAGAGCCCAAGGCTGGCCCAAGAAGCGCCCACGACAGCCCAAGAAGGCTCCAAAACAAGCCCAAGAAGGGCCAAAGAGAGGGACCGCGTACCGAACACCCAGGGCTCCCGCCTCAACAGTGACCCCGGAGGCCCCAGGCAGCCCCCAAGAGTCCTCCGACATGGCTCCAAACGCTTCCAAGAGCACTCCCACGAGGGCCCCAGCAGGCCAAACATTGATGGTTTTACAATAGTTTTGGAAGGGTTTGGGCTTTCTGATCTTTGCGGCTGTCCGACGCTCCTAGGCGGCCCAGGAGGCCTCCGAGACCGCCCCCAAACAGCTCCAGAAGCACCCAAGGCCGCCCAGAGGCGGTCCCGGAGAGCCCAAGGCTGGCCCAAGAAGCGCCCAGGGCAGCCCACGAGTGCCCCAAAACAGGCCCGAGAGGTCTCCAAGAGACGGACCGCATCCGGAAAGCCCAGGGCTTCCGCCTCATGAGAACCCCAGGAGGCCACAGGTAGCTCCCAAGAGGCTTCAAACATGGCTCAAGACGCCTTCAGGAGCACCCCCAAGAGGGTACCAACAGGCCAAAATCGCTCATTTTACATAGGAATCCGAGGATCTTGGCCTTCTTGTCTTTTCGGCTTTCCGGCGCTCCAAAAGGGCCCAGCGCGCCTCCAGATCCGCTCCCAGACAGCCCTAGGCGGGCCCAGAGAGCCCCAGGGAGCCCGCAAGACCGGCCCTACGCAACCCAAGAGTTCCTCGGCAGGATAGTCCGGGAGGGGGGAAGAGCGGGGGAGCCTCTGGCGCCCCATGTTCCGGGGACGCTCCTCCGGAACATGGCGTGCGAACGATGGGGATCGGGGATCTCCGTTCCCAAAGAAGTGCGCTTCCAGAACACGTGGCTTGCAGTTCACGCCGCCGTCTTCGTGGTCAGAATCGTCGCGGGCATCGCACCCGAGCGGCGACCTCAACTAGAACCTGAGCGTGCGCGAAGCGCGCGCGATGGTTCTAGTATGTGTATGTTTTGTTTATTTGTTTTTTTCCTCATCTTCGCCCTGCGCATGCCCCCCATCCTGCTCAGCTCTTTTTGCGAAAGCTCCTGCTTGAAGAGCCTCTGGGAGCCTCGCAAGAGTGTTTCATGCATTCTTAAAGCCTTCTGAAGGCCTCCTGGGCGTGTTCTGAGGGCCTCTGGGGGGCTTCCTCGGGCCGCCCTGCCTCCAACCGCGGTTTCCCTGAACAACCAGGTCACGATTTGGACTGCTTCGGAGGGCGTCTCGGGGCCATCTTGGGCCATGGGGCTCTCTTAGGGCCATCTTGGACCCATGTTGTGCCGTTTTGGGGCTTTCTTGGACTTTCGGATGGTTAGGGACGCCCAGAAAACCGCCGTCTTGGAGCGTCGGGAAGCCGAAAAGAGGAGAACCCACCAAAGACCTAGAGAAAATCTCTGATTTTTGCTTTTGGGGGCATTCTTGGGGATGCTCTTGGAGACGTCTTGGGGCGTTTTGGAGCGATCTTTGGGGGTATAACAGCTTCTTGGGGGTCGTCGTGGACCGTATTGGGGCTCTTGGGTGTCGTTTCGGGAGCGCGTCGGAACGCCTGGAACCCGTCTGGGGCCGTTTTCGGGCTCTTGTGGGGTTCTCCCTGGTCGTTTGATGGGTTGCCCGGAGGCCTGGGAAGGGCCAAATTCGTTAGGGGGGCGGGCGGGCGGGTTTTCCGCGTCCCCAGCCCCATAAAAATTTATGGATATGAATGCATGCGTATATACGTAGCACCCCGCAATTGCAGATAAGAGCGAGGGGGCGGGCGCGGGCGACGCGGGCGTCGTCGAGCCGGCGGACCTCGTGGCCCTCACCTTCTTTGTCGATGGCGCTCTCCTTGTCCTCCTCCTCCTCCTCCTCCTCCTCTTCCTCCTCCTCCTCCTCCTCTTCCTCTTCCTCGTCCTCGTCCTCGTCGTCATCGTCATCGTCATCCTCCTCCTCCACCTCGTCCTCCTCCTCTTCTTCCTCGTCCTCCCTCTCCCCCCCTCGTCCTTCCATCATCGTCCTC